AAAAATTGCATTTCATAGCTCCTGATTTGCTTTATACCAAAAGACACGTTTCCAATTAGACAGCAAATTACTAAAAAATGAAAATGCATATTTTCATGCAACAGATTGGTCGAGGCAGTTTGCAGCAATCTCACAGACGCATTACATTGAGTCAATTCCATTGAATTGTTAATTCTTGAGAAGGAAATAACTGAGCACTTTGTTTGTTGTGCGCATGCAATGACACCTATCATGGGTTTCGATGTCATTAAGAAAATTCTCTGCCTCCTTGGCCTTAAACTACATTTAATTAGTTGATGGACCCGCGAAATGACCGAACTTGCATTGAGCTATTTTTCTTTCTTAGGATTGTCGCTCGGGTAGACCAAAAGGACCTGGACCAAGACGCCAGAAAAGGATTCAGTTTACTCCAGCTAAATTCTTCGGACAACATCAAACACTTTATACCTCAGGGTATTGCTTTAACTAATCTAGAAAACGATGTGGGAACAACTTGTAAACTTCTGGCTCCACGACACGGATATATCTACTCATTTCAACTTCAAAATGTAGCTGCAGAAGATCCCATAGAATGCTCTCATAGGTACGGCATTGATGCCGCTCAAAATACATCGTGCTTTTCACAAAGTCTCTGCCTTCAAAGTGGTCTTGGAGGTGTGCTTACGTGTACAAACTCAACGCTGGGTTTCTACATTGAAGGCGCCGACTGTTATCAAGGCCAGATCGGATGGCCTGTGCTTGTCTCCGTGGTTACCGCTGATGTACTCAAGTGGATATGGATTACAACAGGGAAGCTCAAGAGGATCTGTGGCTTTGCTAGAAACAATGGGGAGTCTTTCCCTTGGTTCACCTATTTCAATCTGACCACTCAGTCCGGCGGGCTGTGCCTTGGCGTCTATACACAAAACGATACTTTCCCTCTCATCACCTCAGTACGGTGCCTGCGTCAATGTCTCCAGTCTATGAACTCAAAGGATGAAGGATGCGTGTTGGAAAGTGTGTGGAGCGACGACAGCTGGACTGAACTGTGTGCAGCGAAGAACATCGTCCAACGTACCTTGGCTACAGTGTCGCCGTGGCGCCAGTGTTTGGTTGCCTATCTCGCCTCACCAGAAAAAAAAGGAGTGTTATTTGAACGCGTCCATGTGTCCGCCTTTAAGGATTGTGCTGGTGAACGTTTTTACAGCCCTTTCATGGTCGAACAGGGTCTCTGCATTAGGGCTGTGGGGGCCGAATTAAATTGCTCGGCGTGGGGAGAGGCGGGGTTAGTGCAGTGTCAACGCGCCACTGATGGCCTGTGGGAATTTGTGGGCATCACGCAGGCCTGTTTTCGCGCGTCCCAGCGGCGGTGGTTTATGCGGGTGATGGAACTCTGATTGACTATGGCCATGGCCGCCGTTGCATATCCTGTCAACTGTGATGGTGTTTGTTTGTTTGTTTTTCATTTACATCCTGTGTTGTGAGAACGAACACACTTACGCGAGCACAAAAGCACTTACGAAATATACTACTCGTCCCATCAGTAACATATGTGACTTCATTTCCTCATAAAACAGATTGAAGAATGGCAAGTAAATAGAACAACACTAGTTTCAGTTGTTAATCTCCACAGCATGAGGTTGATTTGCCGTTATGATGCATCTAAAATGCCATGTTAACTTCAAGGGACAAGAGAACCACCACACTCTTGCCATACTTTCCGTAAAGGCTAGCCCTACGTATGTGAAAAACAACCGATCTTCCAAAAATTAGTCCAACGTTTGAAACCTTGGAACTCTGAGACAGGACCCACAACAATTATATTTTGTTTAGACTGATGTTCTACTCTGAATGCTTAGTAGGCAATTGAGGAGTGCTATGCTACTGCATCAGCAAAGCACTCCCAACCGCTCCACTTTCCTAGGCGAGAATTGGAGGTGAGAGTAGCATTCTAACAGAACCTCCTCATTTGTAACAAGGGTGTCCGTTCACCGCAAAATTTGCCCAATAATTGTTGAAATTTGCTAATAAAAGACTTCTACCGTCCAACAACATTATGCCATGCAGTTCAATAGCTTCTCTGCTAAGTTCACATTTCTGCCCACCAACTACTTTTTAAGGTAACTATATTTCTTTATCATGGCTATTTTTTCTGGGCATTTCTACTCTTTACATTGTACGTTAGTTACTGCTGAATCGAATTCGAATATAGGGATCTGATTGATGCACACTGGACTGTTGTGTCGTGGATGCACAAAAGTAATGCTTGTTGCGTGCCAGCACCATCATAAAAAGCACTCTTTGAAAAACAACACTCATTGTATACATTGGCTTGGAATGAAGTCTAAAGGCTTACCAGCATCAAGAGAAAACGCTGGCAGTAAATAATAGGCAGAGTGGAGTAAATCATGCATTTTTAAAATTAGTTGATGACTAAGTTTTCAAAGAACGCAAGGCGCCATTAAAAGATGCACGCTCGGGCAGATGCTTTCAGGTCATTTTCAAAAAGCACAGACAATGCATAAACTTGTGTTGTATTGTTCACCTTGATGTAACGTGGCGGTCTGCGACCCACTTCTCAGAAGACTGGATGAAGTTTACTTTTCACATCATTTCAGGTAATGCGCTCCAAACAACAACATAAATTTGATTCGCTTGTGATCGCCAGAAGTCCAGCTTATCGACACCAACTACTGTGATTAGTTTGAAATGAAAAGGCAGAATATAGTTCCCATGAGAACTTAGCCAGAAGGTTCCATGAATTTATTTTCTTGCAATGAATCTAATGTAGTGGTGCGTGTATCTGTCGAAATAATTGCATGTGAGACCTACAGAGCGTGACGAGTCAAGCCGATGACTCTTCCCTTTTGTCACATGTCAAAAGGATATCAAAGTATTAATATTAAGAAATACAATTGATTCTCCCAACTCTCTATTT